TTGGGCATAAGGTCTTCACTTCTCCACTGGAGTCTTCACTTCACTCGTTAGTTTCAAACTCTCCTTTTACTAAATTTGGTTTGCACTACAGGTCCGTAAATCGTGTCTCAACTAGTGACAACTAACTCATGTGTACGTCACTTTAGCACAACGACAACATTTTCAGAACCGATCTATCAACCTGTTGCCATGGAAATGCAGCTGCAGTTGGCTCTAACTTTTCCCATGGAAAAATATCCAACATAGAAGAGAACGATGTGTACAGGTTAAACTGAATAAGGTAATTATCTACACTATACTACAAGTAATCAGATTAGGCCCAATTCTGTTCCACCCCTTGCCTATGACACTTAGCCCTACCCCTTTGTTTTGCGCATTCACGTCTAGGGGTAGGGTGTCCCGATTCTTGTTGAGATAGAGGGGTGGAGCGAAGTGTTAGGGCTACATTGCCCTCCAAATGGAGGTTTTTCAGAGACGCACTCCAAACAGAGTGTTACGAGAAAAAAAAGAAAGTTGGCTGCACAAGCGACCAAAGAAACCCACAAATGTGAGAATTTTCTCTGTTAAAATTAGGATAATCATTGTATTATCTTAGTTTAATGTTGTTTCAATGTATTATGGTCCTTTTCTTCATAACAAACATTCAAAATTGCTAGTAGTATGCTGATGTCTTGGTAGCTCGCTAGCTAAATTTCCCATTCCACCTTAAATGGTTACATTCTGTTGCCACAACTCCTGCACCATTTAAGGTGGAATGGGAAAATTTGAACAAGAAGCTGGTGAATAACTGAGGAATTAGGGGTGGGCGATAATAAATAACCCCCCCCCTTTGAAGGCATATGATTCCCTAAATGTAACTAAAGCCCAGCAGTGAGGTTGCTGAACTTTACCCTCCTCTGCTGTCACTGCAGACTGGCAGGGTCACCTACAGAGCAGCGCTAGTAGCCTGTTAATGAAGTAATGTTCTTTTTATTTGAGGGTCCCATTTAGTAGGGAAAGATTTCAGGCACTGCCCCTTATAACTCTGTTCCAAGCAGCAGGGGTAAAAATAAGAATTTGGACTGGGCCATAATCTCAGAAGATATACATAAATTCACTGGTTGATTTGGATTCTAAACAAATAATGTAAAATGGCTTTGCACACATTGGCTCCTCTCAGCACCGCTGTAAAGGAATCAGTAGGTTTTTCTACAACCCTTAAACTGAATTATGCAGAAATGTTAAAAAAATTATGGAATTACTCTTTAATGCAGCCATGTTTTCACTCTGCATCCGTAGTATTATGCATGCATTGAACTATGAGTGAACCTAGCCTGCTGTGTTGTAGTGAATATCTTGCCAGAGGTTTAGAAGCAGCCTCATAGACAGAGGAAGACATCGGTGCAGACCTAAGCCGGACTCATGCAGGCCTCTGCGTCATGCTGTTGGATACTAGCTTGTCCTTGCCCTCAGTGTAGAGCGGGCTGCTGAGATATGACTGTTGTCCAGTATTCAGACACTCCACCAGTAAAGCTCTCAGTGCTGGCTGAGCTTATCCAATTTAATTTCATCAAGTTCAATTAAAACTTTGTTGGAATAAAAGGCTGCTAACTCATTTCATTTCCTGCTCAACAAAAATCCCCTGTGAAGTATAAACACCTACAGGATTGGATTAACACCTACCGTCTTCATTAAAAGCCAGATGGACACAAATGACCACGGCTAGAGTGAATCCAATTCTGAGGGTTTGGATCTCTAGCAGCAGTGCACAAAGCCAGGAACACACAAACAAACAAGCAAACAAAATCCTGAATAAGATCACATTTAAAGGTATTAGTGACCTTGTCAGTATCCATAGCACAAAATGGATGTTGCCATTAATGTAAATGTGGGTGTTTGGTCATTTGTGTGTGCTTTACAAAGAACCTGCACATTATATTCACCTATATTTTCACTAAAAATTATTATCACTGATGTTTGATCCTCAACATCTCAGCTGCCTTATGAAACAGTACATTATAATTCACTGACATTGTTTTGTATATTTGCATATGTATGTATATACAGGGGCTTTGGGGGCGTGGTTGCACCTTGGCCCCTCTGTATAAAGGGACTTTAAATGTTGTTGTTTCATGTGTTGATGCTGTACTTCATTAGTTTAAAGTGTGGGTGTGTGTTATTTGTGTTCTGATGTGGTGGGCTCGGGATTATTTAGTGTGGGTTGGCTGGTCACTGCTAAGAGTGTACAGGTGACCTTCCCACTGTTTTGGCTGGTTGACAATGTGCATTTTCTGTTTGTGCAAATAAAACAGCACTGCTCATGGCAGAAATAGTGGTCTCTCAACTGTATGAGACACACATACACACACACACACACACACACACACACACACACACTCACGTATATATATATATATATATATATATATATATATATATATATATATCACTGCTGTCAGAGCAAAGCCTCTAAAATCTGATCTATAAATTGGTAACTTTACAGGAGAAGGAAAAAACATACTTCAGTTTTAATGTAAGTCAATGTAACCAGACTTTTTTCAAGGTCATTTTGGATTGTTTCTTTTGGTCCATTCACCATGAAATTTGTACACAATGTAAAGGGCAACAGGCAGGTACATCAAAAACTGAAAAACAACAAAAATGGAGAGTTTTTGTTCATTGTTCATATATATATATATATATATCGCATATCTATATACATGTATGGCAGCTATTCCATTCCAGTGTTTGTTGAATTCCAACACAAGCACACCTCATTCTACTTAATGATGTACTGACTAGGTAATCAAACCAAATCTTATTTAACATGGAAAAGTATGAAAACCACTGCTGTGGCCATCACTATCCGTTTGCAATAGGGCCAACAGGATGGCAAAAACAGTGTTAGTAGTACCTCAAAAGTAATTGGCAATCAAAAATTAACTACTGACCATGCCAGGAGAGCGGAAAAAAGTTTTGAGTGAGGAAAAGAAGCGTTACTGGCAGAGGGATACAGTGAGCATCAGCTTGCTTCCATCCTTACAATTTCAAAGACGGCAGTTCATAAGAACAAGCTCAAGCAGCAGACATTGGGGACAACAAAGCTACAGACTGGCAGAGGGCGAAAAGACTCTCCACTGACCAGGATGACCGCCAATTCACTCGAATGTCGCTCAACAACCGTAGGATGGCCTACGAAAAAAGAATGGCAAACTGCAACTGAGGTGAAGTGCAACAGCAAGGACAGTTTGAAACTCCTAGGGGCTGAAGTAATGCAAAGTTAGAAAAAAAAGCCCTTTGTCAATGAGACAGTGTTCCCCAACTCTGAGGATTGATTTTCCAGCAGGATAAAGCTCCATGCCTCACAGCCAGGTCAATCAAGGTGTGGATGAAGTACCACCAGATGAAGTACCACCAGATCTGCCATCGAACAAAACCAAGCTGCTTGAATTTTTGCACCAGGAGTGGCATAAAGTCACCCAGCAGCAATGTTAAAGACTGCTGTAGAGCAATCAAAGACTCATGAAAGCTGTGAAAGCTTGGGTTATTCCAGCAAATATTGATTTCTGAAATCTTCTTAAGTTGAATATTATTATTGTGTTGTTTAAAAAAATGTGTTGTTTGAAACTTGTTTTCATTGCATGACTTGCGGTCTGAAAACACTGCATCTTTTTTGTTATTCTGACCATTTTCTGCAAAAAAAAATCTAAACAACAATATTTTTATTTGGAATGTGGTAGAAATGCTGTCAATAGTTTATAGAATAAAACAAAAATGTGAATTTTACTCAAACACATACGGGAAGCTGCTGGCTGGTTCTCAGGACTTTGTTTCCTGCAGCTTGGTGTAGTAGCGCCCTCATCTGCTCATTCCTGGAAGTGCTCATCCACTGCAACAGCTCAAGAAGACGCTTAAAAGAGGCTTTATTTATTTGATTAAGTGCTGGCTTTGTGTTCACTTCTTGTTTGGTGCTCCACACCCAACAGCTGCATTCAACAGATGTTATGTGAGAGTAATAGGACTGCACCATTCTTGCTTGTAGCATTACAGTCAACACTGAATCAAGACAGAAACTTTAGAAGCACTCGTGCACTGTGTGTCCAAAGGCATCCAGGCACTCCTTCTATTCTAATTAGTTTCACAATGAATTCACAATGCCAATGGAATGGGACACTCTGCTCAAGCCTAAGGTCACCGTGCCCACTGCTAAGCATGAGCTAATGGGGCCCTGTAGCATTGCACTATAGAGCAGTGGAACTGCGTTCTCAGGAGAAATGGAGCTCCATCCAGTACCTTGGGATGAGTTGGAGTGATCCAGAACTGACCATCCAACATCAGCACCTGACCTCACTAATGCTCTTGTGGCTGAATGCAGAAAGACACTAGTAGTCCTGTGATCAGAAACTGATGTGGTGTTTCTAATAAAGTGGCTAGTGAGTGGAAGTACAAGGGGTGTTTCTAATAAAGTGGCCAGTACGTGGAAGCACAAGGTGGGTGCGTCTAATAAAGTGGCCAGTGAGTGGAAGTACAAAGTATGTGTTTCTAATAAAGTGGCCAATGAGTGGAAGCATACAGTAGGTATTTCCAATAAAGTGGCCAGTGAGTGTAACTACAAGGCAGATGTTTCCAATAAAGTGGCCAGTGAGTGGAAGCACACAGTAGGTATTTCTAATAAAGTGGCCAGTGAGTGGAAGTACAAGGTAGGTGTTTCTAATAAAATGGCCAGTTAGAATAAGTACAAGGTCAGTGATTTCGAATAAATTGGCCTGCACAAGGTAGGTGTTTCTAATAAAGAGGCAATTTAGTGGAAATACAAAGTAGATGGTTCCAATGAAGTGGCTAATAAAGTAATAAAGTAGATAGAGAGTGTATTGGCCTATTCTTCCAATAATAACGGCGTTATAGCAGGCTTACTCTTTCCTCATAAACAAAACTATGAGCTGTCCAATCAGTGCGCTCTGGAGGCGGGCAATGCGGAAAAAACAGCTCTCATTGGCCAGCTCATCTGTCAATCACGCACAACTGCTTCTCTGGCCGAAAACGAACAAAAAAGATGAGAGGGACCAACATGAAGCAACGACACCGACACGTTTCTCACATAGCCTGAAAAATTGAGCTGTTTTGCTATGACAATGCGATAAACAGCTATTTTACCGTTTTATCCGGCTGAATAAGTAGCGAGAGAAAGTTTTAGCCTGACGTTACTCCTAGCAAGCCTGCTACGGTCATTTGTTGCTCTGGAGAAGAAGAGTTCTGCTCAACTGGAGAGAGACACGAAGAAAAATGGTTTCGTGGATTATATCTAGAGCTGTTGTGTGAGTAAAGAAAGGAATAGCGGTAAATGTGTTGATTCTGATTCAGTTGTACCGTGTTAGCTTTTAAATCTGCGGTGTGGCTTCCTTCGCCAGCTTCTTGTTCCAATTTTCCCGGTCCACCTTAAAAGGCGCAGCAGTACGTTGTGTAGAATGTACATTCAGAATATAACGGCTGTACCGTTTAAGGTGGACCGGGAAAATTCGAACAAGAAGCTGGCGAATAGGAAGCCAACTTCAGCCTCGTCTGTGAACATTACTTTGTCTTTCCAATGCCTGCAGATGTTTTTTTCCTGGATTGTGTTGGGGAAAAAAGCTTGTAATGTTCCTGAGGTCCAGTTCTGTTGTAAATAATGGACGACATGACTCTTATTTTTCCTCACTCCACCTTTTAAGTTCCTAATTCGTTTTTGGGGTTTATTTTCATTCTGTTCTGTTGGTTCAGCTCCTGTTCTGCTTTACTGTTTCTCACCTCTCAGTTTGAAGCGTTAGCTTTTTTTATTTTAGACCAAAAAGAGAAGAACAGGGCCTGACAAACTTCAGTTCCTGTGCTGGTAGATGCTGCTCAGAGGTTCCACTGCAGTTTTTTTGAGGAACTTTGTACTGGGCGAGATTTTGGACCCGAGACTTTGGCTTCTTTTACTTCTACTTGAAGGGGGACTCCACCGATTTTTCAGATTTTCTGAATAATCCAGTCCCTGAGATGTAAAGAAAGTCATTCAGAGTGGTTTGGTGTGAAATGGTTCACTGTAGAGAAACTAACTGACTCGGATTTCTTAAAAGTGGTGATGATAAGAACCAGGGGACACCATGTCTACAGCACAAATACAGCCATTTCATGTAATATCCAAGGTGAACCTACATGTGTCTTCTGAATCTTTATATGTAATGTTGACAACGGCAAAATAGTCATAAATCTGAAAAAATACATTTTCTTTGCCTCACAACACCCTCAGGTATCCATCCACCACAAATGGATTAAAATCAAATGATTACAATACGTTTTAGGCCAAAGCTTTATCACAAAACTACCATAAAACGCTGTCTCAGATATCAGACAGTGTATTAATAACCACTTCTTGTAATAACTTCCTGTGAGGGAGCTTTTAGAGGTGGACATCTGGTTCCTATCACCACCACTGTCTTGGTAAGTTTCTCTAGAACGGAGCGCTTCAAACTAAACCACAGTGAATGACTCAGTTTACATCTTAACAAGGGCTGAAAGATTAATCATTTTATATCGAAATCACAATTTAAGTGCAAGAGCTGCAAGGAATTAGATCCTACTCTCTTACAAAAAGAGGTTCTTCAAGGTTCTTAAAAACGATGGTTCTTCAGTAAAGACAGTAGTTCTATTTAGAAACATGGATGCCCGTTTGCAAGACCCATTTGCATGCTTTAACCCTTGTGTGGTGTTGGGGTCTGTGGGACCCATGTTTACCAAAAGAAAACATTATGTGATTTATTATTATTTCAACCTCAGATTCCTTGGTCTTTGCTCGTTTTCTGTGAAGAACATATAAAATAACACATTTTTAGTGCCTTCACACTGTAAACACCCCCTACACATTTACATTACACATGTAGTGTTGGGTGAACCCACGGGGAATAAAAGTGTGGAGGTGCTGTGTCCCTTCACTCTGCTCTCCTCCTACATGGCCTGCTGTTAGTGTGTGTGTATGTGTTTGTATATATGTGTGTGTGTGTGTGTGTGTGTGTGTGTGTGTGTGTCTGTGTGAGGGTGGACAACATGGACAGGCTGCTGACTGGCTACAGCTGCTAAAGGAGAACCCTACGCTGGACACTTGTGATATTTAAAACATCTGGTATTTTTACATAAATTGTTATGGCTGTATTGATTTAAAAAAACAATAATGCGGTGGGTCCACCGGACCACTGAGTAACACACACATCAAGGGTTAAATGGTTCTTTGCATGGTGAAATGGTTCTTGATGGAGAATGTGTTGTATATGGTTCTGTATAGCACCAAAAAGCGTTCTGCTATTGTTACAACATCAAGCTTGTAGCAATAGAAGAACCTTTTGGTGCTATAGAGAACCATATACAACACATTCTCCATAAAACGAAGGTGGTCCTATAGAACCCTTAAAGAACCATCTTTTTACAGTGTGCACTTTAGCAAAAACGTTGTTTTAAGTTTTAAGAGACAAAAACGAACCTAATAAGAGTTTGTGAACTGCCTGTAGATAAGTTAGACCAATCAGAGGCAACCAAACCTCCATGTGTTGTGACATCACACCCACGACTCACTGGCAGTTTGGCACACTGTGTTCAGAGTTCAAGCCTCAAGCCTTGAAATTTAAATTGCAGTTGCAAAATTAGTTGGAAGAATTGCAATTAGACGTTTTCCCCAAATCGTTCAGTTCTAATCTTAACCATTTAATCATGTAGAAATGTGGAGAAATCAGTGGAGTTTCCTTTTAAGTCAAACTGCAGCAACAACACAACAGCATGAGAAATGCTGGTACTCTGAAAAAATGAAAATGTCTAAAACGTAATGCTGTAGTTTTTTGGGGGTTTACAAACAGTGGTGCTCGTTTGAATAATTAAAATAAACCTGAGTGACTTGATCGATTCTAAATTGATTGTTAGTCATATTCTCCAATCTAAGTGACCAAATTCCTATTTCCCCAACATAGAAAGACTGAAAAATCTGTAAATGACTTATTGTGCCCATCTTTTCAAACACGCAAGTGTTCTAAAGCTAATTAGTAACACATAGATATCTCACACAATATGTTGTCCTATTTTATCTCATGACTGCAGCAGTTTAGACATTAAAGTTTTTCTCTTTCTTGTATGACATAACGTTGTTGTTTTGTTGAACAGCCTCGTCTAGCTAGTAAGCTAATGAAAAGACAAAGAGAAAGATTTAAGAAGAACATCGATACTTTGGAGACGAATGGACTTACTTGGGTTTATAATCACTCCAGCTGGTTTCCTGATATGTTTAATCTGCAACGGGAAACTGCCAAACACTAAAAAGTCGTGAGGCTGAAGTCAGCTTCCTCCTTAAATGGTGCAGCAGTTACATTCTGGCACCTCAGGCTGAGATTTAAGGTGGAAGGGGAAAATTCGAACGAGAAGTGACTTCAGCTTTGTGAAAAATTGAATGTTGAGAGATGTTTTACAAGAAACTGTTCCACTTTTGAGGAAAAGGTTCCTGCAGGAGAAGTGAGAAAAGTGTCTATAGCTGAGTTAAAGCCTAAAACAGAGCAATGTAATACTGTGTTTTTGTTTATTTTATATTTTTAGCCTATATTAATACATTAGCACATACACAAGACATATTTACAGCCAAGATAAAAGGTAAAGTGAAATGGACGTTTAATATTGTGACTCCCAAGGTGGTTTGATTTTCGTTGAAAGGACAGAATGGCTCTTAACATTTGGGTTGCCGACCCCTGATTTAGGTAGATATATGTATGTTTTGTATGTCAACAAGTTAACATTTTGCTTTACCTTTATCTGTGTAATAATCATAACACTCAAATGTTTATGTATATGGTTTAAGGCTGTTTAGTGATGGTGCTAAATGTACCTCTCCAGCTTATAGAAGATCCATCTAACTGAATTCACATTCACAGAACATCTCGATAAACTGGTATGTTTTTGAGGTAATACCGACTGACAGGCTCACCCGTTTGACCGGAGGCATTGTTTGTGCTTCATTTCCTCATTATCCTTCTCTGTCTGTCCACACCTGGTCATGCTGCAGGAGCTCCTCTACCTGGCGTCAGCATGTTTTCACTGTACACTTACACACGTGTTTCAAAGTACAGTGACCTCTAAAAACTAGGCCATCAGCGTTTCTTGTCTAGTCTCACTTTGAGGATGTGTCCTTTGGCTGGTCTCCCAGGGAGGAGCCGCACTTTTCCTGTCTGTGTGTATAATGGTAGGTGTGTCATCTCCTTAGTGTTGAGGGTCCAGAACGTTGTGTGCTTCGTCTATGCTAATTACGGTCTCAAGGATCATTGGTTAACTAGCGGAGCTGAGATAAGAATAGCCAAGTCACTGGCTGGTTGCACCTCAGAGGTCATGCTGTGCGTGTTTTGCAAAGCTTATTGCTTTTGTGTTGTTGTTTATTGTCTATTCTAGTCTTGGACGCTAGTGCTTGTCCATTGTTTTGATCTCTGTAGGCCTAAATATGGATATTGAGAGCATTTAACCCTTAAAAGTTTCGCTACACAGTTATGTGCTTATGTTTTTACATAATTAAACACAGTTCCTGCAGGGATCTACAGTGCGAGCATGATGTTTGCATTCCCTCTCTTGTTTTTATAAAATGTGAACATAATTCAGATTTGGGAGCAGCAGTGCGAGAACAGATTTGAGTCACCTACCACTTCATTACACATATTCATCAAGCGGAAACACATGCATGCCACTGGAAAAATCAAATGCTGTCTTAACATGTGTTACAGCCCGGTGAGAAAATTATTTTCCTAAGGAAAAACTCATTTTCCAGATAACAAACTTGCATTGGTGTCCAGTCTGACGGTTCAGTTAAGAACTGCTAGTTAGGCTGTGTTCACATTACCAGGTTGAAGTGGCACAAATCAGATTTTTTGCCCTAATGTGACTCAGGTCTGATGTTTTCTGAGCTGTGTGGACACGCAAATCTGATCTTTTCAAATCCGACCTGAGCTACTGTCATATGTGGTCCTAGATCAGATACGTGTCCGATTTGTGGCCATGCGACCTTAATGTGACGATCAGATCGGATTTCATGTGCTTTTTTTCCACTGCGCGTGCGCCATCATTCAGCGTTACCATGGCAGCAGCGTCGAACAGAAGTTAAAGCCTGTAAACGGTGGAAAAACAACACCTTTTTCACCTTTGTCTCACTCTAACAATGAACAGCTGAGAGCTGATCAGAGTTAATTATCTTCACAGCGAAGCTCGTTCTGCTCGTTTGTTTGTTTGCTGATGATGCACGTGATTCGTTCATTTGTGATTCGTAGGATGTGCGCATGTGGGTCGTTTCAGGACGCCGGTTCATTCACATTAGCGACAGATTTGAGTCACTTACCTAAACGAGTGTGAGCTATTGTGTCAGAGTGTTCGAATATGAGCAGGAAATCGGATTTGAGCAATGAGGCCTGTAAAGTGAACTTAGAGACCTGTGTTTTGCCTTTGCTGTGGTCTTGCAGCAGTGAATGTGTGTATTGTATTTGTTTCAACGCGTATTAACAGAAACCAAGCTCAGCTGCGTATTTGCAGTGCCGTATATTGTATAATGGAAATAAGGTATACTGCAGTGTTTAAAAATTATGACAGTATTTCAGAATGACGATGTGTAAAATTTCTGTTCTACTTTTGAACAGCTGCAAAAACACATTCAACCCATTTTTGTTTTAGAGGGGTCACTAATTGGTGGTGTAAGAGCTCACTGATCATGAAAATCAGAGCCAGGAAAAAGTCAGGTCACTAGTCAGGTCACAGGGACAGGAGGAGTCACTAGTTTCCGAGTCTTAGGCAAATGTTGAGTCTCTGAGGTGCAAGTCCAGGTCGAATCTTGAATCTCTGGTTGGTGAGTCGGAGTTGAGTCCTGAGTCTCTTGAGGTCCAAGTACAGTTGAGTCTCAGGTTTTTGGCTTGTGAGTCTGAGTTGTGTCTCAAGAATCTACTTTGTGAATTAAGTTCAGTTCAGTTTAATTTGATTCAGTTTGGATTTGACTGAAACCCAATTTAGGAACTGAGTGGTAGAAGCACAGGGAGAACGTTAGCGATGTGTTTTGAAGCATGTAAACAGTGTAGGTGGGGTTAGTTCAAGTACACTAAGTGTTAAGTGTCTGCTGATGCAAAAAATCAGAGCTGCTCATTTACCCTCATGTAAATACATTCAAAAATGTACTAAAGATGCCATGCAAATAAAATATATTTCCAATTTGACATACTTGCTTTTCCTCTTGGCAGTCAAAAACATATTTGCCCCATTCTTTTCACTAACCCTGTTCATTTTAACGAAAGCATTTTTTATGTATTTAATTGGAAAGCTTGTCTGGGTCAAACAACATGGATCTATACTGAACAGATGGTGCTTTTCTTGTTAGTGACCGTTACAGCCAGGCCCCCAGTCTGTCCCAGTTATCCCCACCTACAGGATAAGATTTACACTCACTCTGTTTTGGGCTCCATTGTTCATAAACTGTAGATGCTGGTACAGTTTTCGTTCATCAAGTTACAAACAGTGTAAATGTTCTCTTAAAGGTGCAACAGTGGTTTTAATGTCCAGCTGTGAACCTTAAATAAGTTTTTTCAGGTGAAAAGTATGTATTTGTGTCTTTTCATAACCTAATATTTTAAAACGGAACATAAAATAAAAAGCTTGGAGACGAGACGGGGTAAGCTGTGTCAGTACAGCTTAGAAAATATCATTTCAGTAGATCATGATACAGTTATGTTCCTTGTCTAAAGGTACTGAGATGTACCCACCTCAGTGACAAGAGGGGTCCTGCCCCAGTGACAGCTTCGTACCTTTATTTTTGAGATGTGTAGGTTGCTTGTATAAAAATGTTATTAATCTTACTCAAGTAGTTGTAAGTTTATTTAGTTAAAAATAAAACGTGTTATGACTCACTGTTCCTGGTTTCATATTTATTCCAGTAGGAAAGTTTTCTTTCTAGGGTCAATAGAGTAAAACTCTAACCAGACCAATAACCTTTTAACTTTTCGATTGTGAGTCAGCTATGAAAACAGTGCTCATCGACGAAAACTCTCTGTATCTCTCTCTGTATCTCTCTCTCTCTCCAGGAGGATAATGACTAATGCATGACTGCCTGCTTTGTGACTCTACTGTTTAACCTCTTAGGCTCTTTTGTTTCTTTCCTGTCCAGCAGCTACTTTTAACTGAGCATCGCCTGGCTCGCTCTTAGCTCGACAACATGAAGCCTCTTTTTTTTTCATTTTGGCACAGAGCGGCCTTTTGTTTGAGCTCTGGATCAGCAGGTTGGTGTAGTTTGGATGTGTTCTGTTCTTTTTTTAACATAAATTGCCCAAAACAAAGTTTAAAGTTTAAGCGTCAGTCTGCGTTTGGTTGTGTGTGGAGCAGAGATGTTTTAGGGTGGAGAAGCTGTTATGTAATGGATGGAAATATTCCAGCAGCTCCTCACTGCGTGCACACACACACACACACGCACTCACACACACACACAGAATACTGTAGACGGTATCAGGCGGTGCTGTCGTTCCCATAGTTACATGAAAATTTACTGTGGTGGAAGCAGCCGGGCTCGCAGCAAAGGCCGCTCCGTTCCCATAAATTCGCAACAAGTGCAGTGAGGTATTCAGCACCTCTTTGAGAAACGGTTTTTTCAGCTCCCTCCCTTTGGCTCCACTCCTATTAGGTGCAAAGCTCGGCTTAACAGTCCGGATTGTGCTTGGCAGTTCGTCCCTGTTTCAGTTCGTATAAAACTTGTACGTCAGTAGTTAATTTTAAAGTGATGGTTCAGCCAAAAATGTGGTGCCTCGTGGAGAGGACTCACAGACTTGCTGCTGTCCTAGCAAACTTTCCATGAAGGTCCCACTAGAGACTTTACATTTAGTTACATTTTAATGACGTCTGCTGTACAGCTTGACATACGAGCTGCGCAGTATATGTTAAAATTGTTGTCTGTTTTTTTATGCGTGATGTGATATTTTGCCTCTAACTTTGTGTATGAAGTATATGACGTGCGCATCAGCTGTCACATGATGTATATGTAACACTGGCCCTCTGTCATATCACAAAATATCACACAAATAAAGAGCGAAAAAAGAACAATTTGACCTCTATAAAATGTAAACAAATAGAAATTTTTCTTTAACCCCTCAAATGTCCAGGGGCCACCGGTGGGCCCAAAGTTTTATTACACACTTCTATGACCTAAAAACAGCTCAGCCAGTTTACATTGAAGTTACTGAATAATAAGCATTAGTGTGTAATAAGCCTGGGAGTCTATGCTTATAATATTGTGTAATGTCCCCATTGATGTCATCATAGAGGTGAGCATGGGTTCATTAACTTTATAAATCGCTGTTGTTGGAACAAAACCTTGTATCTCCAATTTTTTTGTTTTCCAGTTTTTCACATAATTTGAAAATGCCTGTTGTCCTTTACATTGTCTGTATATTTCATGACCAAAAAATGATTTTAAAAAACTCTGGTTCCAATGACTTACATTAAAAGTAAGGTATGTTTTTTCCTTCTCCTGTAATATTAACATTTTGGAGATACAGGGTTTTATTCAAACAACAGCGAAATGCTAACAGATGTCATCAGATACCGTGATAATTTTGCAAAATATTGTGAGTTGCATCAGTGTTTTCCTGCACTGTTGTTAAATAATCGCAGATAGATTTGCTTGTAGGACGGTTTAGATATGCAGGTTTCCTGATGCTGATTGGTGGGTTATAAACAACGTCCTCATAGGAAAGTCTGTTCACTCAACAGCCGTCTTGGTAACACCGCCTGGCAGTTATTTCCAGCCATACAAGATCAGATGCCTATCTGTTTGAATGGGGAGAGATGTATAAAACTGGAACTACAAGGCAAAATAATACTTCAAAAACATGTTTGTAATCACAGATAAATTCTGACAACAAAACATTAACAGTTTATACCATTTGCCTCAAATAACGCAAAAACGCAATTTTTTAGCTAGTTCTGGCTACTGCACTTGCACAGATCTCCACAACAAGAGGGGCTTTTCCCAGTAGCGGATTAATCAGTAAGCTGATTGGCTCTTTTTATGAAAGGGTGGGACTTTCCTCGTCAACAGATGCCACGATGAGTGCTACAGGCTTTCCCATTCATACTTCGACCACTGACCGTTCTCCTCCTTTTTAATGTTTATGGTTTCATTACTTGTTAGCCACATTAGCCTCATACTTCCAGTGTAAAACTAAAGAAGCAAACTTCAGACACTTAACATGTCTTGGCTGATCAACTACATGTGGCATAGGAGGGAAATTGAATTTGCTGTGAAGCGTTGCTTTAAAAGAATGAAAAACATGCTTGCTTATTATATGAAGTGTTTGCGTGTTTTTCTGTTTCAGCCTTGTGTTCGGGACACTTTATCCAGCGTACTACTCCTACAAAGCAGTCAGGACCAAGAATGTAAAAGAATACGTAAGTGCACTGAACAGCAATCCCTGTTTACGCCATGCTTCATTAACAATCAAGAAATAATGTAATTTTATTATTATGGCTTAAGAGCCTTTAATATTAAACACTACCCACCATCATGATGACTGAATTTATTAAACGTTCTACTGAGTTTCAAAATATTCTATATCACAGCCAACTATTATTTATTTATTTGCTTGTTTGATTCTATATTTGTTTGTAATCAAATATATAAAGGGAGAAATTCAGCTGGTGTATCACCCACTACTATATGTCAGTTATTATCAAGCACTCTGTTGACGTCTAATTGTCAGTTGTTGCTAAGTACTCAGTCAAACACAGTTATTACATGATGGTGGTGTTTATTGTGCTGAATCAGCATTTGCATGTCCAATACAGAGGAAGTTAGAGGGGTTTGTCTTTCATCCCGGTGGACTCATATAGCTGACCACAGGGCAGTAAACCAAGACAGAGAAGTACAGCAATTCTATCTGTTCCGTGCCATGGCTTTACCCTCCTTCCTTTTCTCATTTCCTTTTCCTCGGTGTGGCTCTGTACGTGTGTGTGTGTGTGTGTGTGTGTGTGTGTGTGTGTGTTACAGGTTCGTTGGATGATGTATTGGATCGTGTTCGCTCTTTACACTGTAGTGGAGACAATCACAGACCTCTCCTTGGCATGGTGAGATACACAACCTACACTGAAACAGTACTGAATGGAAAATCATTTAGTTTAAGTTTAAGCTAAACTGACCAAACTCTCTCACACATGCACACACACACACACACACACACACACACACACACACTTTCTAAGCTGCTTATCCTTCTGGGTCGTGGGGGGAGCTGGAGCCTGGGCGGAAGGCAGGAAACACCCTGGACAGGTCGCCGGTGCACACACACCGAGGGGCAAGTTATGTCCATTTGGCCTAACTGCTTGCCTTTGGACTGTAGGAGGAGACTGACCAAACTGTAATGTTAAAATTTAGGCTGTCAAATAATTCAAAAAACTAGTTGTGATTTATTGCATTCTTTAAATATAGTTAATTGTGATTGATTGTAGTCTTATTTGTACAGATTTGACCATATAAGCGTCAAAATAAGCCTCATTGGAATGTATTTATTACTCTCGATAATTCATTAACAGTATTTTAATTATATGAATGCGGGTTTGTTTGCTGAATTACTGATCTTGCCGACATCACTGCTGTGTTTTGCTTGTAAACTTCTGTGATGGGCAAATTCATGGTATTGCAGTAGCTGGAAACAGTTTGTTTCACCAAGAGAGTCATTATTTAAAAGCTGTATTTAAACAAGAGAGCTATCATAGCAACATACCATGCACTACAGCTGGGATTCAGTCTGCACAGCTGCAGTTGATTTGAAGTGTCTAATTAGGATAGTGCATTAACGGTATGAAAAAAAATGTTGTTAATCATTCAACACATTAACAGGTTAGCTTTGACAAAATTTATAATCAACTTTAGTAATATTTAATATAGTATTTACTCATTTTTGGCTTCTATAAAATCTCAGGCTGTTTTCATCTGTCAATATGCAAAAAAATAAAACCTGGTTTATTGTGTTTGTTGTCTATTTTCTGCAACTGTGTAAATCGTTCATTTATGCATTCAGTGTACAATCAAGAACTGGCAGTTATATCAGTCAGTAAAGCACTGTTTAACTGAAACTGCTAGAGTATAAAATGAAAATCTTAAATAGAAATACAAAATTATGTCAGCTGACATCATTGATTATTAGTTTTAGCCCCCTGAAATTGCCATTGGCACAAAAACTTCCAGCCCTTAAATAATAATTGAAGGTCAGAATATTTACATGTCTAATCATAAGCCATTTTATTCAGCAGGTCCTCATCAGTATCATATAGACTGCACTGTACTTGTTCAGGCTGATATAAAGTAGATCCAGAGTGATCAGACCAGTTCTGTGTCACATGACGTGCTCTGAAACTCCCCCAGGAACTGCTGTCGTTTTTCATCGCTTCATTCCTCAGTTATAATAGTTTTCTCTGTGTTTGCAGGTTCCCGTTGTACTACGAGCTGAAAGTGGCTTTTGTTATCTGGCTGCTGTCGCCGTACACCAGAGGAGCCAGTCTGATCTACAGGAAGTTCCTGCACCCCCTGCTGGCCTCCAGAGAAAGGGTACGCATTTATCAACCTCACAAATGCATTGGTATTTGGAAAAAAGTCCTAAACATTGAACACACTTCTGCACATTTTAATGTTACTGTTAATTTGCTAAATTTAACATATTGGGGAAAATTAAACATAAAATGTGGCCTGTGTAAAGGTTTTTAGATTTTATGTTCTATTTTACTGTATTTCTTAAATTATTTTCACTAGAAAATCTAACAAAACTTGTGAATTTGACCAAAGAAATTCAAACTTTTGCAGATGACAGTACATACACTGATGTGTTAATTGCCCTGGGCACTGTTTTAACACAAACACTGAAATTACTAAAGGTAACAACATTCAGGATGTTTTCTTGATGTGTTTACGTATTTATTTACAGGAAATAGATGATTATATCGTCCAGGCCAAAGAGAGGAGCTACGAGACGATGGTGAGCTTTGGCAGGCAAGGCCTGAGCATCGCCGCTACCGCTGCTGTCTCTGCTGCAGTCAAGGTAATAAAAACATGCTCAAATACACAACACGTTCAAATACGCAAACATACTGACGCAAACTCTCTCAAGTATGCTTTCACACACATATAAACAGACTCAGGTTTAGGCTGCTGTCGGGGTAACAGACACAAACACTCAGACACTCAGACCCTCACAGCATATCTCGCAAAGAAGTACATCTGGTGGTGGATCATTCTCAGTACCAGCCCAACACACACTAACACACCACCACCACGTCAGTGTTACTGCAGTGCTGGGAATGATCCACCACCCAAATAATACCTGCTCTTTGGGGGTCCGGTGGGGGTCCTGACCACTGAAGAACAGGGTAACAGAGTATGCAGAGAAACAGATGAGCTACAGTCTGTAATTGTAGAACTATAGAGTGCTTCTATATGGTCAGTGGAGCTGATAAAATGGACAGTGAGTGTAGAAACAAGGAGGTGTACTTAATGATGTGGCCAGTTGGTGAATACTATGAGCATCAAAAGTATAACTTTGAAGGTGACAGTTTAACTGCATTGATTTAAGAATGTTTGAATTGAGGACATTATATGCACAAAAGTTTGTGGACCTGCTCATCCCAGCGTTTCTTCAGAAATCAAAGGTATTTATAGGGTATTATGTTTGGGAAGGCTCTACACCAGATGTTGGAGTATTGCTGTGAGGATTTAGTTGCATTCAGCCACAAAAGCATTAGTGAGGTCAGGTACTGATGTTAGATGGTTAGTTCTGGACACTCCAACTCACCCCAGAGATACTGGACGGCGCTCCATTACTTCAGATAACACAGTTCCACTGCCCTATAGTGCAATGCTGGGGGGCTTAATACCCTTCTAGTCCATGCTTGGCACTGGGCATGGTGACCTTAGGCTGATGTACAGCTGCTCCAAAGCATCCCATTCTATTTGCAGCTCTTTTGTAGGGAGATCATACACCTGTGCCAGAATACTGAATACTTTTGGACAGTGTGTCCAAAGTCCTTGTGTATCTAGACACACCTAGCATGTGTGTTTTATTTTGATCAAAGTCAGACTAATTTGAAATGTAAAAAAGGAATGAAATAGACATTGTTTTATTTTTGTTGTGCCACTACTATGTTCTTATATGTTCCACTCCTACATGAACTGTATGTGATGAAGTGCAGTCGAATCAAAATGTTGTTGAGGTCAAAGATTTACTCTCCTACTGTATACTTACCCACCAACAGCACTCCTGTGCAAAAAATGGGCTAAGCCCAGAATAGGATGGGTTTTACTGATGGTTTTTTCCTGGTCAGAGATTTAAACCCTATAGAGAATATTTGGTCTCACAGTAAATACAAACTAGCTTGGCAAAGTTTTTCAACAGTTTAAAGCCATCAGTGCTGTGTGGAACAACACCAACTCTTTCTGTAAAAGGCTGTCTGCAAGTTTACCCGCTTCAACATTTAAAGAAGTCAAAGGGAAAAGCTAGCCCATATTACGTCACTTTTACCATTGTGTTACCATTATAAGCTTTATGTTTCACCATTTTGGGATTGACCCATTTGTTGTATGGGAGTGTACTTCTTGCCCTTGTCTCTAGCTTTCCTGCAGAAAATGCTTCTGTATGCAGCGCTGCCTTATTTCTCTACACAGCTGCCATTTTTGTTGTTTTTCTACTTTGCTCTTATGTTTTGTTTTACAATTACCTCTCCTTTTTTCTCTCTACTTCTTTTTCTTTCTCTTCTCTCTGTGCGCTAGACTAACCATATGCAAAGATCTCTGTACCTGACTAAGGGTGGTGGAGCTGCAGGTAACGTCTCATTTGTTTGTGCTCTGCTTAGGGTGGCTTTATATGCACACAAACACACACTACACATAGTAACAGAACTAACTGACCGTCCTTTATGCCAGTTCGTGCTTAACGAATTAGTTGTAGTTTTAGCATCACATTTAAGAGAATAGCTTTGAATCCTCGGTTTGCTGTCAGTTTTGAATGGACTTTTGGTAGAAAAATTTTTGGTGGCACAAATAAAAGATACTTGAATGTGTGGTTAGATTTGAAATGAGGTTTTTGGCTATTTGTAAGTATAGGCATATTAAAGGTCCCATATACACATATTAAAGCCCATATGCTGATTTTTTTCATTTTTATGTGACCATTTTTTAACATCTCTTCATATAGAAGGGCTGGTTTTTTACTGTTTCTTTAAGACTGATATATGTAAATGAGGTCTGGTTGCCTGCTTGTATTACGCCTTATACAAAAAGCAGGTCAGGCTGAAATACAGCATGTAACTATTGTGTATGGACAGAGGGGTGAATATATGTAAATGCATTGTTTTTGTGACATCACAAATACAGTAAATTCAAACCAGGTTGTTTTTGCTGCTTTATTTTTATATATGGACTGTATGGACTAGAAAGTGAACAGTATGTTGTTTCTGTATGAAAATATGAGGAAAATCTGTCTTTCTAAGATATGGGCCCTTTAAAGTACTCTCTCCTCCATATATCTTTGAGCATTTGGGCTTCAGCATAAGTGATTGATTTGGGGGTGATTGTTTTTGGTCACATGGCTGTTTCCACAGGGACAGGGCGCCATCAGTGAGCGTCTGCGGAGCTTCAGCATTCCTGACATCACACAGGTCCCTTCTGACCAATCGGCTTTCGGCAGATCTCTCCAGCGGGCCAGTCAGAATTCAAACCCCAGCATGGAGGACTCTGGTAGGCTCACTATCACAGGAAGATGTAATCTACTTTAAATGTATACCCTTACTTGCCTCAGTATGTTGTGCAGGTTTGTTGAGAGTTAAATGAACTTAAATGTCAGAAGCTTAAATCATTTTGAGATTGAGAAGAGTTCTTGTCTTGTGATGCTAGTTAGGGTGACTGTATTTTGATTTTGGACACTGGGGCTAGGAGAGCAGCACAGGGCAGACTGTAGAAAGCAAATGTCAACATGAAAGCTAAGCCAAATCCTGGATAATTTTAGCCAATGTAGAAATCCCAGCCAGATGCATTTTTAGGTCCCAAAAAGAGCATGTGTTCTGGAAAAAGGCTGTATGGTCGCTGTAGTGGTAGTAAACTGTGCCAAGATTTATGTCCAGTCTAAATCTCTAAACTCTGAATCCGTAGCCTCCATTCTCATGGAATGAGAGGCTACGGACCTCTTGGACCTTTGTTCTGTGATGTTCACAATGCTAAACGTCATCACGCTGAACCGGTGAGGCTGGAGGGAGCGTTTCTTGGATCTCCTCCTTTTTTATTTTAGTCTAAGTGCAATTTGTGATGGATTTCTGCTAAAGCCAGCATCCCAATCAGACAGATTGTGCAGAAAGTCTCATGTTATCTTCTATACAGCCTTGATTAATGGCCACCACTGTCTGAACAGTGGTCATCCTGTAACACAATGTACAGAAACTGTCTTTCACCTGTGGTCATCCTGCAACACTCTCCACAGTCCATGTTATCTTCTATACAGCCTTGATTAATAGATGAATGAAAGAGCTTGGCAGCCCTCTTCACAGTTTAATATATATAGTAATTCAGGGGAAGACTGAAGATTTAGATTACCCATTAAAGTCTGAATTGGCTTCATAATCTGAAGAAGTTATCATCCTGAAACATAGAAACTCCAGGAATATTTCTCCCCCCACTATACTCGTCTCAGGGCAAGTGACTATAAACTTGACAAAACTGTGAACCTCTTTTTTATGGCAAATTTTCAGTAACATTTGAAGAGAAGACATAATTTTCATCATCCTCTAGTGGTCAGATTAGGGTAAAACCACACTGTGATGAGTTGAAATGGTACAGAGCCCTGTTGCTGCTTAACTGGCACATCTGGTGAGTGCAGGATTTCTATTGGGAGCACTACAAACACTATACACGTGTCTGTATTGTTATGCTAAATTACAGTGATCACTTTGGGTTGTAAGATTGTATTTCTGCAGGTTACCTGCTTCCTGTGATTAAGCAGGTACACTCTCTACAACAGCACCTTCTCAGCTATCCTCTGTATGGTTGGTTATAAAATAAAAACAATTTTTTTAGGTGAGATTCAATTTTAGAGAAAACTATTTCATCCCGATTCATTCACCCTTTTTTTATAGATATGGTTCCGATCTTGTAACAGTTGAATGAATTTCAGTCCTTCTTTTGTGTGTTTCTGTTCTCAGAGCATTACCCATATAAACAGGAAGAGGATGGGCATGAAGAGGAAGTAGACGGAGCATATTTGGAGGATGAGTCATCGCTGCCGAAAGGTCTGCGCAGATCACAGAGTGTGAAGATCACCCGTTCCAAAGCAGTGCGCAAAGAGGTGTGTACATATGCATATGCGGGTGTGTCTTTTTCATATGAACTTAAAAACGTCATAATGATGATTTTCAGTGCAGAGTAAAAAAAGTTTTTTTGTTGGAGATGCTGGGTTTTCTCACTACATTGCTGACTAACTGTCTGCCATTGTATGTATTGTTAATGTATTAGTCACCTCACATAAATATGTATGTATATAATGTGCATGTATAATAATTAGTGGTGCACCAATCTGATTTTTTTGGCCAAAACCGAAGCAAATATTGAGGACACACTTGGTCAAAACTTAGAAAAGGTGTCAATAAATAAAAACAGTTTCCAAAAAATAAACATAGTAAAAGTATTACAGGATGTAGACTAATGAATGTGCTACGAAATCCACCATCCTCAATAAGGGGAGAATGGTTGGTCATCTAAGGCAAAGAATTCTATTATTTTCTAGGTTTTAATTTGCACTTTTGTTGTCCTTTTAAAACTCATTTTGCCACTTATTTGTAGACCTATTTAATATTTACAGTCAAATTTTTTTGCTGTTTTTCCCGTTTGGCAAAAACCAAAAGCACAATTTTTGAGCAGTTTTTGTGGCCAAAATTTTGGTGCATCCCTAATGATAATTCATAACTTTTAAGATAGTATTTTCATAGTAATGTGTCTGTTTCTGTGTGTGCCTGCGCAGCCTCGATATGGCTCACTGAAGATTAAAAGCAGAAGGAGGCCGATGATCACTTCCAGCACGTTTGAACAGCCCTGATCAACCCAAAATCATCTTTATAGAGGAGCCTCTGTATGGACGACTTGGTCATTCTGTACCACACTCCAGAGAAACCTCTATATTAACAGCCTTAATCATCCTGTAATATACGAGAGGTGTCAGTAGGAACAGCCTTGATCATCCTGTAACAGATACAACAGAACCCTCTATATGAACAGCCCTGGTCATCCTGTAACAAACACCAAAGAAGCCTTAGTCATTCCATACTGTGCTCCAGGGGAGACTCCATAGTAACAATTTTCATCATGTCATCACATCAGTCATCCTGTAACACACAACAGAAGCTTCTAAATCAACATCCTGTAACACAGTCCACAGAACCTTCTGCATGTACGGGCATGGTCATACATTCTGTGGACATTCTGCAAAGGAACATCTTCATAAACTGGCCTGGTCATCCCGTACCGTGCTCCAAAGAAACCGTCATATTAACCACATTCCCCATCATGTAGCGCACCAAAGAACAGCTGTCCACTGAAACTAATGTCTGAACAGTGGTCATCCTGTAACACAATGTACAGAAACTGTCTTTCACCTGTGGTCATCCTGCAACACTCTCCACAGTAGCTTCTGTCTGAACAGTCTTGGTCATCCTGAAACACAGTCCACAGAAACTAACGTCTGAATAACTGTGCTCATCCTGCAACACTTCACAAAGGCTAAGAACTGGCGTGGTCATCTTCTAACACAGTCCAGAAAACTAATGTCTGAACAGCTGTGTTTATCTTGTAACACTTAGAAACTTCTGTATGAACAGCTGTGGTCATCCTGTAGCAATCTCTGCAGAAACGTCAGTATGAATGGCCATGGTCATCCTGTAACACGGTCCATAGAATCTAATGTCTATACTGCTGTGGTCATCCTGTAACACTCTCCAAAGATGTTTCTGTATGAACAGCTCTGGTCATCCTGTAACATTCTCTGCAAAAGCTTCAGTATGAAAAGTCGTGGTCATTCACTATTCACAGAAGCTCCTGTATGAACAACTATGGTTTTTCTGTAACACTGTCAGTGGAAACTTCTGTTTGAACAACAGTGGTCATCCTGTGACATAGTCCAAAGATACTTCTGTATGAACAGCCGTAGTCATCCAGTAGCATGGTACACAGAAGCCTTTGTATGACCAGTCATAGTCATCTTGAAACACTGTCAGTGGAAGCTTCTACTGTGGTCATCTGGTCCAAAGAAACTTTTGTATGAACAGCCGTGGTCATCCTGTAACATGCGGCATATCTCGCTGAACACTACGGTGAGGACTCCACCCTGAATCTGCAGCCCTGTTCATTACTGCACATCTTCACATTCATAGCATGTTTGTCAGTTTGTTGCTTTGTTTTAATGTTTTTCACCAACAAACCTACATTGGAAAGTGCTTTTTTCATTTCTGCATGAATCTTTTTAGAAGGTATTTAGTTATTTTCTATTTAAAGTCTTAAAAGGACGACATCAGTCGACAGTATGGATGGTAAATTGAACTTAATGGCCTTGTAAATTGTTTGTATCTTTATGTAGATGAATTCTGCACAAAGGCCGTCTTCACATCCAACACTGAGTGCGTTTACATGCACTCAATAATCCGATCATAATCGGATTTCTGCAGTTGTTCGATTATTCAAATGGTCATGTAAACACCATATTATTATGATTATTAAGTGCATGTAAACGTACTCATTAATACGCGTCCTCCGATCATAAGTGAACAGCGCTGACTACTGTGTGAATGCGGTCCAGTGTATCTCCAAGATCTGAATTGCTCAAACCACCTTTGGATGGGTTCTAGTCACAAAATCTGATCACCTGGTCGCTGGAGACACATTTGAGACACATGGATTTATCAGGTCAAAACAGCTGTACGTCTCACTGTCCACTCATAATCAGATCAGTGGAGACGCGTGTTCCTACCAAGTGTGAGCAGGGCCAGGTGAAGACCCAAAGATTTAAAATCTGCATTTTGGACCTTATCGTCTTACTGTACTATGCATTGCGATGTGAGAAATCACATCATGAAAAACTGAGTAAATTAGGAATTAGCTGAATAATGAGTGCTGTTATATATTACTTACGCACTGCAGGCTATCTTCAGCGTTTCAGACTAACTCTGCCTCTTATATGTGAGTTAGAGAGCGAGAATGAGGTGATATTTCGTGCCTCTTGTTTACACTTTAAATATTTTCTCTGCCTTTTAATTCTATGATTATGTTCAGCTCCGTTTCTTACAACAGTATTTGCAAATGCTGTCTCCAAACTGAATGTATAGACTGTTTTCTAATACACTAAGCGCAGTGCTTTTGCAGTGGATTTAATTATAATTTTTAGTCTAGTTTAGGGTTTCATTGAATTATTATTATTATTATTATTATTATATTATTATTATTATTGCTCTATAAAAGGAGAAAACGGTTTGGTCCGTAAAGAAAGTAAATGCGAAATATTTGTCAGTGTGAGTTCTGTGGTTTGTTAGGTTTTCAGTGTTTGCCTTTACAGTGTTGAACTGCAGTTTACTCGTAATGTGTGTATAGAGGTGGGTGATATGGCAATAATACATTTTGTCCCCTTGGAATTATAAAATATAAACATGTTGCTGAAACTCTGCCTGTTTTCTTTCAGAAATTGGGGGTCTTTGCAACAAAAATTAATTTCATTCATCCATCTTTTCTTTTTCTTCTTTGTCCCAAAATAAGACATTTTGGCTCATTAGAGTCACATTTCTGATATAAAACAAAACCTTATACAGCCTTTAAACTGACCTTGCTGGGACAGTTTATTACAATAGCTGGTTCCTGTCTAACCTAAAGGAAACTTAAGCTAATGGTCCCTACCTAGAATTGACCTCTGCACTCGACAAAATATTTAGCACTGACCTTTATACTTAATCTATCAATCGATGCTCTTTTGAATAAGGAAAGGATAATTTGTCCTAAAACAAGAAATGTCATAAAAAATAAGTAAATAATGCATCATAAAAATGTCAAAATGCATTAAATTTCACTTTCTGATAATGTAGACACTGTTACAACACTAACTTTATGTTTTTAGACAAATTATGAATAAACTGTTTGTGTTTCCTTGAAAATCATTTCTTCTGTTCATGTTTTGTCAGACAGAACCTTATATTTCAAGCAGGAAGTTCTTTGGATTAGACGTTTTGCATTTGACCTGTTCCAAAAAACCTCATTTACATATCTGATAGGATTTTGATTTTGCACATATAGAATAAATTTAGGGTGTCTGTCATTTTCATGTTTGACACAGACTTGTTCCACATATCAGTTTTGCTAAATGGAATGCAAAATCTTGGAAGCTCAATCTCTCAAAACTGCTCAGAACACAGTTAGAACCTTATAATTCTGAGGGGACGATTTATTGCGATACACATTATGTCACAATATTTATCGTCTGATCAGTTGGAACTGAGAAGAACCAATAGTATTTTTAAAAATAACATAAAAATCTGTGAGAACAATGATTTTTATTCAATATTTGACATGCTGGGTTGCACTAAATCCAGTTAAACAAGACTAATTTTGCTCTCTTTATAATGAAACATGCAGCTGGTCAATGTCTACAAATACTGAAAACATCCACAATATGTTCAGAAAAGCATATCGAATTGTACTGTGACATAATTTATCACGATAATGATATATATTGTCATATTTCCCAGCCCTGTGTTTATATGTGGTGTATGTACAGTCATATGCAAAAGTTTGGGCACCCCTGGTCAAATTATTTTCTAAGCCAAAAGACTTAAAACAGTCTTAAAAGTCTTAAAAAGTCTGAAGAGACTTAAAACAGTCTCTTCAGACTTACACTGTCAGTTTTATACTGTATATTTTCTTTTTTCCAGTAGGCTTAACTCAGCAAATAAATATAAATTGCACACTAAAATTAGTAGAAAATTGCAAACCTTGTTCACTTGTTTTCACTTGTTTTCAAATCAATAAAACATGGCATTTGACCAGAGGTGCACAAACTTTTGCATACGACTGTGCATGTCTGAGAGTACGAGTGGCCTGTATTTATGAAGCCTCCATTTTATTCCACTGTTGTAAATATTAGGATGTCAAACTCAAATCAGTTCTACACCAGCACTCTCACCGTAAGGACTTGCTATTGATTATTGATTGTTTATGTGGTTTGTGACGTAAAGTGGAATGACCAATGATGGAAAACACTACAGAAGCCCACTGTAAATCCTGGATCTACACTGAGTGTTTGAATAAAGTTTAAATCCAAACGTGCTGCTTTCTGGTTAATGTTGTTTCTACTGTTCTTTCTAACTTGTCTGTGCTCCCTTATACATAGACTGTTTTTCCACTGTTTGACTGTCTGTTGCTGTATTGACCACCCACATCATATCTGGTCATGAGTAGTCCTGTGGTCAGAAACTGACCAATGATTAATGGGGTAGAGGGGGGCTGATAAACTGCAGCAACAGATGCATTACAATCTGTAATTCTACACTGTAAAGTGGAGCTATAAGGGAGGTGTTTCCAATAAAGTGGCCATTGGAAGTACAAGGTAGTAGGAGTGGGTGATGTGGCAAAATTATAACATCACGATACTTCAGGACATTTTCATGATGCATACACCGATCAGGCATAACATTACGACCACCTCCTTGTTTCTACGCTCATTGTCCATTTTATCAGCTCCACTTACTATATAGGTGCACTTTGTAGTTCTACAATTACAGACTGTAGTCCATCTGTTTCTCTGCATACTTTGTTAGCCCCCTTTTAACCTGTTCTTCAGTGGTCAGGACCCCCATGGACCCTCACAGAGCAGGTACTATTTGGGTGGTGGATCATTCTCAGCACAGCAGTAACACTGATGTGGTGGTGGTGTGTTAGTGTGTGTTGTGCTGGTATGAGTGGATCAGACACAGCAGTGCTGCTGGGAAGAAAAGGGTAAAAGTAACAAAGTGTATATATAGTATACAGTAAGTGGAGCTGATAAAATGGACAATGAGCGTAGAAACAGGGAGGTGGTCATAATGTTATGCCTGATCGGTGTACGCATAACAATATCTTGTTTTCCTGCTTTGATAAGTCGGAACAGACAAAAAAAGAACCAGCAGTAAAAATGACTGTATATAAATACAGTATAGCTGCAAATTTGACTTTAATCGTTAGAGATATTCGAGATAAAACAATTATTGTGCCCCATTGTGTTTCGCAATGATCTCATCAATTTGTCTTGTGTTATAAACCCAGCGCACCCCTTTCCCTACAGCGGCTCAAACTCATCTCATTTATTTTGGTCTAATTTATTGTTTTTATTTATTATTTTAAATACGCGTTTAATAGTTTTCAGTAGGTTGTGGAAATGCAGAACATAGCTGATCTTGTTTATATTGATCTTATTTATTTTATTTATTTCTATTATTTGTTTAAATATGTATATATTAATATTTATTATTTTTACATGTATTTATTTTTTGCCATAATCAAGCAGCCCTAAACTACAGTGATTTTTATTCAAGATTTTACACACTGTGCTGTACTAAATCCAGTTAAACAGGACTAATTAAGATCTCTAATAAAACAACATACTGACAATATCCACTATATTTTTCAGGATAATAATATAATTATCATCATCACACTGTCCACCCCTACGAGGTAGGTATTTCTAATTAAAGTGACCACTGAGTGGAAGTATAAAGTTGGGGGGTTTCTAATTAAGTGGATGGGAGTGTTCTGAATCCACCACTAGGTGGAGCCTCTGTCTTATCCTTTGCTCTCATGATTCAGACAAGAAACCACTGGCAGCACAGAACAACATGTAAATCTAAACAGCACAGATCTGGGTTTCCACACTTCAGCCAACAATCAAGGCCTTCATGAACCGAACCAGAGAAAACACTGAAACTCTCAGAACGTGAGGGTCCAGGAGGGGATTTGGAAACTCATGCTGTGAGATCATGCTAAAGCAGTGGGTCTGTAATTCTGCAACCAACACAACTTCAACGACGCCTTCATCTGGCAGGATAAGACCTTTTTATCATTTAGTGATTTTTTTCTTTAATAGCTTATATAATGTATTTAATCTAACGTCCCATTACAGCTATGGCTTGATATTTTGATTTTACAGCTACTGGTAAAAGCTAATAACTTAGCTCCTCACTGTTTTCTAGCTAATGCTGAAAAGCTGTGCTACTCTCTGGGGTGTTTTTGTTCCATAATTCGTTTCGGTTTTAAAATATTAGCTGAATATGTTTCTGAATATCTCTCTCACATTTAGCAGGATAAAGACTCTCCACAAGGGGGTGCCGTTCTCAATCAAGTAAATTCTGGTGCTTCACATCAGTGATGTTATAAAATAAATGCATTGGGTTCCATGGTTTGTTTTTATTTTAATATATGAATTAAATATTCATTTTTATAAAATATGTAATTTTGTTTATATTTTCACACATGCAAAGAAAATATGCATGTATTTCATTGTCATATGTACATACATTTTGATATATTAATATATATGTGCCCAAGTTAACATTTCTGGCATATATTTAACTATTTAAATATACAATTTAACTAGTTACACATACTGCACATATTTTAAAACACTGCATTTATTGCACACATATATATATATATATATATAAGCTGTTAATTAAACCAAAGCATTTGAACAAAAGACATAAGCATTTTTTATCACTCCAAATCTCACCTCAGGCCTGTTCCGTTTTCACGGCGGCTTTACGTGCACAGCGTGTTTACGAACGTGTGTGCTTTCCACTTGATAAGCAAACAGAAGCCGGCGCTTTGTGTGAGCTCTTGCTTGACCTTTGTTAAGCACTGCTGTATTTGAATATTCACACCTTCAGGCTGTATTGAAGACAGGATTAACATCATACACTCTCTCCCTCACGCATGCTCGCACACGCTCTGGCACTGCAAAGGTTTTCAACTGTGAGTAATAGAGAAGAGACAGATTACTCACTCCGTAACCATTTAATTTACTCATCTTTGTAGTTTGGAAAGGTTTCACTATGAACACCATGAGCTGTGAGGCCTTTTTAGGTCAGGCGTGATACGGCAGTGAAGGCCTGAAACTGCTTCCTCCGTGCTTAAATGAATAATCTAATTCACAGCCAATAGATGTTTGGTGAAGTTCGCTTCTTTAGTTTTGCACTGGGTCTACGAGGTTCATACATCAAGAAGATTAAACAAACAGCGCTGCTACTCTTTTAGCCATGCAAGTGGGACTACAACCCATATTAGATGAGTAAAGTATTTGAAAATGGAAAAGCATTTTGAGTAAATGGGGCTTTTACCCGTTTTTATGAAAGCACATGTCGGTTCTTCAGTCCAGCAGGAAACACGTTTTTTGTTCTTGAAGCTAAATGCTAGCAAGCTAGCCCTACATCTCAGCACATCTCAAGAGTCCAAATACATATTATATATATATATACAGCCAAAACATTTTGACTACCCTAATATGGTCTCGGTCCTTGGTGTGAAGCCGAATCAGTGCCGACCCACCAAGGCATGGACTCTACAAGACCTCTGAAGGTGCCTTGTGGTATCTGGCACCAAGACATCATCATCAGCAGATCCTTTAAGTCCTGTAAGTCATAGGGTGGAGCCACT